TAAATTGTTTCGGAATAATTTCGGAATAAAGTATTCTTTTAAAATAAATTGTTTCGGAATAATTTCGGAATAAAGTATTCTTTTAAAATAAATTGTTTCGGAATAATTTCGGAATATTCTTCGTCTAAAAAATTGTTTCAAATTGATGTTATTTGAGAATTATATTGCATGTTTGTTTGGAAGGATTTTTTTCGGAATAATCTTAATTGAATTTCAAGTTTATTAGTAATGCTGTTCTGAAATTTTCTATTTGGCTCATTTGAATTTGTTGAATTTCTTATTTTCAAATACAAAAATGGTACCAGCGTATAATTGAAAGTTTGGAAAAAGGTTGTAGGAAATTACTTTTGATATTTAAATTTGTAAATTATTACCTTACTACATCATTTTGATGTTAAATTTTCATCGAAAATATATAAATAGATTAATTATTGTTAAAATTTTTCATAAACTAATTCATCTACATTTTTAATTCAAATAATCAAAAAATTAAGAAAAAATATTATTTCTAGCTACTGTAATTAAAGATATTTGTTATTAATCTGTTAAGCACGTTTACTATCATTTTTTTTGTTAATACTCAAATAATAGTTATAAATTTTTACAGGAATACAGATATACTGCATTGATATTACCGAATTTCCGAAACATCTTGACAGTAAAATAAGGCTAAAAAATATTACTAAATAAAATGAGTACAAATTTGGCATGTGTATTACACGGTAAGAATGATCTTAGAATGGAGGAACGTGAAATACCGGTTCCAAAATCCGGTCAATTATTGCTTAAAGTAGCTGTCGTTGGTATATGTGGTACGGATATAAGTTTTTGGACACGCGGTGAAATTGGACCTTTCAAGCCATTAAAACCAATGATAATGGGCCATGAATGCAGTGGTATTGTTTCCGGTTTAGGGCCAGATGTTAAAGGATTTATCATCGGTAAGTTATGCAAATTTTTCACTTACAATTAAAAGAATTTTTAAGAAAAAATTTTCTGACATTCTTGCTATTTTGAATTAAGTACTCAATAAATTGATGTATTTTGAATATAACAGTTAATAACTCTATGTTATTTGTTTGTTTTTCCACTTCTAATTAGTAAAAATATGTCATACAAATGGTTTGAATTTCTTCTTATTTGAAATAAATATCAAATTTGAAATTCCGAAAAAACTCAAAAAAAAACTAATTTTAAATAATCAATATTTATTATTGAATATTACTGCAATAAAACAAAATAATAGGTAATAAGTAAAAGGAAGAAATTTCTTCATTAAAGGTGATAGAGTAGCAGTTGAACCAGGTCTACCATGCCGAAAATGTCAACTGTGTAAACGTGGACGATATAATTTATGTCATCAAATGGAATTTTTTGCACTTCCACCTACAGATGGCGCTATGCGACAATTTGTTACTGTTGATGCTGATTATTGCTTTAAGTTAGCTTACCTACTGATATGACATTAGGATAAGGTTATTATATACTTGAGGAATGATTTACATAGGTGATAAAATACCAACTGTAGTGAATATATCATGATAAAGTTATGATATCAAAAAAAAAGTACTTGAGAGATAATTTACGTAAGTAAAGCAATATCACTTTTGATTTTTAAATTCTTCATGAAAACATACATATAATGCGATAAATAATTAAGATTTCTACTAATTGACCTATTTAATTATCCTATAACTTCATTTCAATTTGAATAATTAATTTTTTATTGTCAATTTTATCAATCTTTCAGAATTCCAAATAATATGTCAATGGAAGAAGCATCGTTTTTGGAACCACTAAGTGTTGGTTTACACGCATGTCGTAAAGCAAAGATAGGAATTGGTAATAAGGTATTGGTACTTGGTGCAGGTCAATTTTTATTTATAATATTAGAAATATTAATTACAGTATGAATACTTACAGTACTAGAACAATCATTGCAATGTCTTTAATTGTAATATCAAAATATTAAATTAAATGATATAAAGTTTTGATAGGAGGAAATTATAATACTAACGATAATTGGGATTTGTTTACGTAAAACATTTGATGATTTGATGATCAATTTTAAATGACCATTTCCAATTAACTTTTTTTTATAATTACCAAGAGAACTTAAAAGCATCAAATAATTTTTCCATTAAAATCTTCGTAATCTTCCTTTCTCTTTCACTTTATATTTGAGTTTTTTTTTTTTAATTTCATAAATATCATCAATATGCTTTCTATTAAATTGGATTTTTTTCAATTCAAGTTATATAATATGCTCAAGTTATGGCAAATTTAATAATTCGAAAACTTCAAAAAAAAGTTTTTATTTTCTTTTAAAAAAGGAAAACTTAAAAATAATAAGCAAATAAAAATCAATCTTACATATCCAAAATAATACTATTTTAGGTCCAGTTGGTTTGATCACAATGATGAAATGATACTATTTTAGGTCCAGTTGGTTTAATCACAATGATGATAGCAAAAGCAACAAATGCAACGATGGCATTGATTACTGATATTAACGATCAACGATTAAAAGTTGCTAAAGAAGTTGGTGCTGATGAAACACTTAATGTTAATGGTCTTAGCACGGAAGATGCAGTAAGAATTATCGTGGAAAAATTGGGTGAAGCACCGGATGTGGTCATTGAATGTTGTGGGGTACAATCAAGCATTGAATTAGCTATCAAGGTTAATCAAAATTATCCAAATTTTCTGGACAAATTTGAATTTAAAAAAAGAAAAGGTTTACAATTTGAAAGCTATTATTAGAATGAAATTAATTTTTTAATTTTTATTCTTCAAATATTTTCAATTTTATATTTCATCTAAAACAATAAATAAAATATCAATTATTATCCATTTCAGAGTGTAATTTTATGATTTGTTTTTTTTTTGAAATTCAATTTAAATTTAGTCAGTAAAAGATGGTGGTACAGTTATGTTGGTAGCATTGGGTGCTGAATATGTGAAAGTTCCAATACTTGAAGTAGTCGCTAAAGAAGTCAATCTACACGGTGTTATCAAATATTCTAATACGTAAGTTCTAGCAAAAAGTGATAAATGTTATTTGAAATGAATAAATGTACTGAATTACTCATTTTTTTCGTCTAACTTTTAAATGCAATAAATTGAATAAAAAATAATTATATTTATGAAATATTGAAATGTTGCTATTATATGACAGTAATTAGAAAACGAAACAAAAATGCATTTTTTTTTTCAATAAAACAAGTTTGTTTTTCATTAATAAATCTCAAAGTGACGTTTGATTAATAATCAATTTATTATTATTAATACAACATTTGTTTATTCTTTTCTATGAATATATTATTCATGAATTTTCTTACTAAACAATAAATAATTTAACAACAATTTCCAATTACTCAAAAAGAAAATAGCTATATTAGATGGAAATTAAAAAATTAAATTAATTCGTATTTAAAAAATTATCATACAAACAAATGAAAAATTTGCTTTTAATAATGTTGAAATGAATCAATTATTTCCTTTAAACTTGATTGAGTTTTTGTGTGAAAAAAAAAACCGTTTAAATAAGAAATTGTCCCAATGAAATATGTTTATCAAATTATTAAAAGTTTTTTTTTGAATTTTTTACAAAATTTTATCAACCAAAAAGTACACTCATTTAAGGAAATGATAATAGATGATTTAATGAGTACCAGCAATTAACTTCTGACTGTTGAGTAATTAATCAAAGAACTGTTTTTTTTATTCTTGTAGTAAGTTCCGGCAAAAAATTTCGGATAAACTTTCGGTTAATCCAAGTTATTTCTTTCATTTAGTTCTTATATTTTGAAATTCTGGATGAAAATGTCTGAAAATGAAATTTTACATTTGCTCGTTAATTTTTTTTTAGAAATGCCAAGTTGAATAAACGAATAACATTGATAATATTGATAATTTAACATTTAATTATTAATGGTTGTATACGATATTTGTTTTCTCCACCAAAATTTTGGAAATTATGATAATAGCAATAATTATTATTTTCCAATAACTCATAAATGACAATTAAAAGTATATCATATGATCATTGTTAACCTTATCAATGCATGATATTTAGTATAAGCTATTATAAGAAAAATATATCGTATTTGCAAAGCAAGATTATAAATTATTACAAAAATTATTGTTATACTTTTATTTTTTTTTATAAAAATAGCCACTAATTGCTTTAATTATTTTAAGATAATCAATATTACTTCAATTATTGCAAGGTGACAATAATGATAATTAATTTAATTGTTACAAGAAAAATTTAATTTTTCTGCATTTCAGTCTTACATAATCCGCCAACATATATAATATTATGCAAATTATTTCATAATTTAGATGGCCAGCAGCAATCGAAATGATTCGATCAGGAAAGATTAAATTAGACAAATTGACATTGGCGCATTACAAACTTGACGAAGCTTTGGAAGCATTTAAGTATGCTCAGAAAGGTGAAGTTATCAAAGTATTCATCAATTGTGGTTCATGACGAAGTTATTTGATGTGTCATTAATATATACATATATATATATATATATATATATATATGTTGTGATAATAGATGATAATAGATGATAATCAAATTACACTATATGATTGTTTCTATTACTATTATTTTAGAATAAATAAAATTTAATTAAATGAAAAACGTAATTCACGTAAATGTAATCATTCATGCAAGTATACAGAAAACTACACACGTAAGACACGTGCTTGTGTTCAGTGTTAAGTATACATGACGTATAGCTTATTGGTATGCATATCATCGAAAAAAATCATCGAATTTTTTTCAGGTAAATCAAATAAAACAATTAAAATTACAACAAATGATTTACTAATTCAATTAGCTAATAACATATTGTCCTCGTAAATATCACTTCTAATAGTACTCAAATTATGATCATATTTGGAAGGAGTAAAATTTTGAAAAACAAAAAAAAATTGATGAAATCAATTATTGATTAATTGTTGAAAGCATTTGTTCATTTTTCTATTATTTACTTAGCAATTTTCCTTCTTGTGCAGGTATTTTTTTTTTATT